CCCCCTTCAAATTCTAAAAGAATAGTGAAAAAGTTTTGTGAAAACCCCGTTGAGGTGGGAGGGAGAGTGAAAGAACAACAAGTGTTGGAGCAGGGAGAGGAAACAGGTGTGACGTATGCATGAGGGAACGGGGAGGGGGGAGTGACTTCCCCCCCTCCTTGGAAAACGCCTGGGGGCAAGGGTGTTATAAAACATGGGTTAAATGAAGGTTGGGCGGTTTTTTTGTTTTGTTTGTGATTTCCTGCCCTGAACCTGCCCCATGCTGGCGGGGCTTTCCTCATCTCATTCTCCGGGTCTTTGAACTTTTCCTCCCTCAGTGTTTCCGATTTGTTTAATTCCGTTCTTAATTTTCATCCCGTCACGGTTCATGGGAAACGTGTGGATTAATAGCTTAGGGATTCCCAATGATGTTACCAGTATAACAGTGTATTTCCTCTCCTGATGTGCCGTGAAGAAATATGAAGAAATGACAACGGCGTTTTTCTTAAATTGGTAATGCTGGGGAGGATGAGAGGGGGGGGGTTGTTGTTGTTGGAAAGAGCGAAGTTTGAAGTTTTCTTTCTGGGGATAATGGTTTTAAAGTCAATAAAATTATACGATGAAGAAAATTCGTTGAGTTTTAGCTCTTGAAGAATGCGCATTGGGTTTTTGGAATATACGTTTGCTTGAGTTCATTGATTTATTTTTCAGAATTTGTGTGGGAGGAATCCTTGAGCAAAACGCCGCCCGAAAATGTAAAAGCCTGTCATTATTGAATTAATGAAGGGAAACCTTGATGATTTTATGAGTTTCATTTTGAAACTTCCCTTATCCATGGCTATAATGGTTGTCGAACACCTTTTTCACTGTAAAATGACGAGCATTTTATAGCAATATTTCCCGCATGAACAAAGGTTCGCACAGAACAAAAAAGTTGACCTCGCACAAATCTTTAGGGGGAAAAGTGACTCATAACAAAATTGTTGCACATAACAGAATTTTGAACCAAAAAGCTTGAATTTCATCACATTTCAATTTAAATTTCAAAATGTATTAAAATAATTGAAGCAAATCAGAAAAGAAGGGCTTAGTTTTGTACCTTTGTGCATTTAGAATTTGTGAAATTGAGAAAGTTAAAAGGTAGAGTTGTTAGGATTACTTCAAGATCAATATCCAATTCACAATTTCGGCTGAAAAATACAAACATTCCTGTCTTTATTATGGCCTTTTGGTAAATGTTTGGAAAAATAGAAATAATGCAATTTTAAGGAAAAATGCGTTTCACATTTAAAAAAAAAAAACTGCACAACAAAACTCATCCAGGAATGCATTTCTTGGGACACGCAATGCCATGACGTAAGACAAATGATTTACTGTAACTTAGTGCGTCAGAATTTCACAGTAGCAATGTCAGTCCCAGTTTTCTATGCGTTAAAATATTTTCTAGGCACACCATCAAATTTGTGGCTCGCTGGATCATGGATCAAGTTATTTTGAGGTACGGGTACAGCATTTCCTTTTTTTTTTTTTAGAATGAACTCATTTTGTTCCTTCAGTGTAGCCATGATGTTAATTTAGGCTCATTATAAAAAAATCCTTCTCATGACGTTTTTCTAGGTCCCAATAGAAACACAATCTTGCAGCGTTTTAAATCGGGGTTCGTCTTGTGTTGAACGAATTTGTGCGAAGGCTGGTATAGGCCTGCCTTCCAAAATTGAAAATCCACAACAAAACGGAGGTACCCTGAGGTGTGGTGTCTCATTTTTGCGATCCAGGAAGGGAACCCGCCCTCCTTGGTAAACCTGATGGGAGAGAGTGGAACTGTTTTTTCCCTCCCTTCACTTTACTCACTGTTCTGTATTTGCCCAGACAAGCACGATCATTGTAAAAAAAATACATACTGTATACAGGGTAGTCAAATAAGAAATCCTATATACAAGACATCACATAAGTCTGAAGTTTCCGTTTTGTTTAGTAAACCTTTCAGATGTGAATACTGTAGTGCACAGTCAACCCCTTTTAATGAATCATACTTCAAGGGATCAGCAAAAAAAATTTCGAGTTGGGGAGGTTTCCAGTCAGAAGAACAAGCATTTTTGTTGGGTAAAAAAAGAAGAATCACAGGAAATTGTGATTAGTGATATACTGGGCATTGAATTAGCTTTTTAAATTGAGTTGACAGGATGCTGAACTTGGAAGCAATGGTTCATTCCCCCAATTAGTCTTTCACTTTCTTTGAAAATACTTCCTGGCACATGTATGTCTTTTCTCTTTTCCTGTATGTGTCAACAAAATGAGAGTGAAAAGGCCTTCCAAAAATTCAAGTTGTGGATGTTAGGGATTAAAGCCTTTGAGTTAGGGAGGTTTTTAATGCATTTTTCCTTGGGGAATTCAGACAGGGACTTGAAAACATTTTGACAAGGAGAGGTATTTGATTTGGGAGGTTGAGTTCACCATGTATAAAGTATTTGTTGACCCTATTGGAATTCCCCCAAGAACCATGCAGACAGGTGGGCTCTCGAAAAAAGTATCTATAACTTTTTTTTTCGAATAGGGTTCTCTTTCAAATTTTATTGGGGTTCTTTCAGTTTGCAACAATTTTTTCCAATCAATTGAATTTCATGTGAGAGAGAATTTACCTGTAATCAAACTCTCTCACTGCATGGAATTCTTTTCCATTCAAACCTCCACAACTACAATTGTTGCTGGAGGCCTTTGGGACATTTATTCTGGAAACTTGAGCAAAGAGAAAAGCAATATAAATGTGACTTCATGCTTTTTTAAAAGAAGCGAGTCAATAATTGATCGGTAAATTAACCCATGCCTCTAACTTCAGCATCATTTCAACTCACTAATTCTATGCACAAAATATTACCAATTTTATGTCCATATACAGTAAATATTTCTTCTTATATATCCAGCAAAAAATGGCCGATTCCTTAATTTTGAATTTCTCTACCAACTAATTTTAATTCATTAAATAGTAAACTTAAGAGATAAACAAGGAAATCAAGTATGGAATTGAGCAAAGTTATCATTTATAGTAATATACAGTTAGACCCCATGCAGTGATGACAAAAAACATCAGTTGTCATATCTTGAAAATCGCAGAATTTCGGAAAGAGTTGAACAGCCAAGATCCGGGAGGCAAAATTATTGCAATGAAATCTACCTGAACTCAATTTCCAATGTTTGGACATCAATTTTGATAGAAGACATTGCTGGCATGATGGCATCAAAGCCAGACCAATGCATAGATTGCCACGCAGAAAATAATTCACATAAACTGGTAAAGAATGGGCATTTTCAAAATTTTGCGTACCCATCAAGGGATACCGTCCATGCTAGAGGACTACAAAAGGAAAACTACCTATACAACAATTGTGTGAAAAAGGGAATAAACTTTTTGTTACTCCATCATGCACAGGACAAGCCCTGGAATCTCATTGCTGACAGGGCAATTTTCCAAGGGAGAAACAGGAAGATCGCTGACCCAGTTGCTCTTCTCTCCCCCTCGACAAAACCCAGGGTTGTTAAAATTCCCTCACCCCGACTGGCACCCCCTCCTAAAACTTGGGAAATCTGGCAATTTAGTGTGAAATTGCCTCATAAATTTCACGCACCGTGAAAAAACGTTGGCAATCCGCCCGAACTCTCACAAAAAAAGAAATTTGCCAAAATCATTCAAGATATACCTCCGTCATTCATCCGGAGAGTCTCAGTTCAATTTTCTGAGGCTGAAAC